TTTGATATCGAAAGTAAATTAAAAAAGAAAAGAGGATAAATGATTCTCTCGCTCTCTCACTTTGGACAAAAAAAATTACTATTCGTGTAGTATAATTTCAATGATGATTAATCGTGCGAAGGAGCTTATCGAAATCTGATCGTATCACGCAATTGCGCACAGAGAATCACTTCATTAGAATCGTGCTATCGTGACACTTGTACATCTAGGTTTATAACTTTTTGCATCGTTGTATTTTCTCGAAAAAGGAATTGTACCCTTTGTCTCATTACTTGCCATAAAAAATAATTATCAAAAACATATCTTTATAATTAAATGATAATAATTCATACTGTTCAAATGTTTTTTTTATTATTAAAAAATAGGAAATATTTCAAGAAACAAGGTTTCATTCATAAATTTTTATTATTGCTTTTATATTGAATAAATTCTTCCTTTTTCAGTTAAGATTGAAAAAACAATTTGATTTAAATGAAAGATTAATAAAAATAAAATAATTTTATTAAACATTTGCAAATATATTTGTGATAAATTGTACGTTTTATAGAATTAAATAATTTATAAAAAGAGTTAAAAAATGATTAATATTCGAATTTTCATATTCTCTCAACAATTATCAAACAATATGAAACAATTCTAAGTTAATTTATTTATTACATCTAAGCAGCGCGATAATTTAACGAAATTGTGTATGTATATGTTGAAATACGCAGTGGTATAAATTCATATGAGCAAATGTGTGTGTCTCAGCCCATGTTGTCGAAGCATCAATAAAAAAGAGATTTTGTAAATCAGAGATTTATTTCCCTTTTCAATTCCTACTTTTTTCTTTTACGATATTTGTTAATAAATTTGATTAATTTGTTTAATTGGTAATATCTTTTTTTTTAAATATTTTTAGTCATTAAATAAATATGTGAATACATGAGTATATGAAATTTTTATATATAGATAAATATATATATTCTATATATATTTTATAGATAAATATAAATATTATATATTCTTTTAATGAAGTAATAGTAGTAAGGATTTTAATTGAAAATTAAGCCGTAAATTCAAATTCATTATTATAAAAAAACTTGTCATTCATTTGTAAAAATCTTATTCAAATTTTATTATAATAATGCGATAAAAAAATGTTAAAATATATATTATAAAAATTTATCATTTATATTATATATAAAAACTTATATAAAATATATATACGATAATATGTATAAAAATATACTATATTTATCTTTTCTTTTATTAAAAAATATAATGTCTTTTAGATAAGACATTAAGGTTTCAAATGATTATATATGTCGCATACATTTGTAAAGTGTAGACAAGGAAAATAAATAATGAGAAAAGGACAGAGATAATATAAAAATATGGGAATTAGCGCCATCTTCAGAGTGCCGCAAATGAAACACATGAAAAAAGGACAGAAAATAGTTGAAGAAGGACAGAGATAAAATAAGAATTTACTACTAATGCCATCTCTCGAATATCAAGAAATGTTAAGTTTGAGCATTCTTCAAAGAGATGGCGTTACTAGTTAAAGTCTTTAGATGTTTCAAGTTTCATTAAGTTTCAGCATTTTTCAAAGAGATGGCATTACCAGTTAAAGTCTAGATGTTTCTAAGTTCAGCAGTTTTCAAAGAGATGGCGACACTATATAAGGTCTTTTACATGTTTCTGACATCCAGTTTGAGCATTTATCGAAAAGATGGCGCCACCAATTAGTTTCTCTTAGTCGAAAGATGGTGCTAGTGATCAATTCTTTTTTTTATCCTTTTTCTTTTATTTTCTATCCTTTCTTTATGTGTTTCATTTGCGGCACTCTGAAAATAATGTTGATTCCCATATTTTTATACTATCTCTGTTCTTTTCTCACTATTTATTTTCCTTGTCTTACTAATTACATAAATTATACAAATATGATAGTTTATGAAAATATTAATATATATAATTATATTGCACATATATTGGGAGATTGCTTTTTAAATATTCAAATAATAAAAATCTTAGGAAATAATTAACATTATTTTTATTGATGATATTTCTTGCAATTCTTTAAATAATTAACAATGTTCTATGATAAATCTGTATTTTATAAATGATAATTATAATTGTTATGTCAAAGATAATTGAGATTATCACGTGCTATCTTTATATTAATCATAAATTAATTATTAATTTAATAATAATAAATTAATTTAATTATAATTTCTTTCTTTGCAACGCTATTATATTCCATTTTGAATTGATAACATGAGATATTATACAAGAATACTAACAATGACTATATAAATAACTTTCAGATTATATGATACAAAAATGCATTAGATAATAAATCTATTTTATAACTAGTTTGTGGTTCTACGTTATATTTTTATTATATTTCTATTACAATTCTATATCACAAAAATATTTTCATATTTGTGACTAATTAATTAACCATTTTATAATTATAATATAAGCGTTCGTAAATGTATCAAGGCTATAAAAACTGACAAAAATGTTTTTGAACTAAATTCCTATACATTAAAACTATAGAATATCAACGCACTATACTTAAAATTGTCGACAAGCAGTCACTTTTTCTATGCCCATTTTATATATAATTCACATGACACATCTGTGTTCAAGGAAAAAGAGCGAAGATGAGGGGACTGTTTCCGCCCCTAAAGTTTTTCTACTATATAAATTTATATACTATTCGCTAGAAAAATTAAGCCTTTGTTTATTGTCATGAGATAATTATAATATTATAATACTTCTTTGACAAATTTTGTACATATAACAATTTCTAAAAGTGATTGTATATTTATGTACGCTTTTTGTACAACTCTTTTTAATTTTAACTACGATTTGAAAGGAAATTAACGTGATTTTTACTATTTTTTACTCATGGTATGTATTTATTTTTTATATAATGTCAAATTATCATTAAATTATATACTGTCAATATTATTTTCACAAATTAATTAGCATTTCGTTATACAACACATCCTTTTAATTAACATAATTAATAATTAATCATTATATTAATTGTCGAAAATAGCTGTAAACTTTCTTTTGTGTACTAAAATGAAATTGCGTATTATGTGCGTAGTATATTGTATTTAAATGGTATATATATAAATGACATTTTAAATAAAAAATTGATTTAAATATATACAAAATTTAATTATTTTAAAAAATTATTTAAAATTAATTAATATAATATAATAATTTACATCATAATTTACATATCTGATATATATAAAGAAATATTAAAAAATAATAAAAAATATTTTATTTATATTTCATTATATTTTAATTATTTAAAAATTTAATAATTTTTAAAATATATTAATAGGATTTTTTATAAAATAAAAAATATATAATTGCATATATATGATTAGTTTTTTAATAAATAATTATATATATAAACATACTATAATATATATGTTTTAGGCTTTACGTATGATGTCAGCAATAGTGCCAAGCACACATAATATAATTGATTCTAATCAAAGTTATGATCATGCATCAGAAC